TTACGTTTTTGCGATACCTCGGCACCCTGGGCTACAAGCGACCCGAGAATGGCACGCTTCGATAAGGCATCGAATGTAAAAGTGTGCCATGCCTAATGATACACTCCCACGTACCACGTATTACGAGCACACGTGTTGGCAAGATGGAATTCACGTACACTGGTACTGGGTAATTTCCTTTGCTTAGAGCGCCATGTAATCTGACCGGGGTCATACAAGACACGAATTGTGATGTTTAATGATTGCCTGCCGGGGCACCCCCCATCATTAAACGGCCCACTACGCTGATGTTGGGTTCTTCTCGCTTGCTCTGCGGACCCTATGCTGTTGATGGTAGCCTCTTTTGTGGCATGCGCCGTCGGGCACTCAGGTCCCGTTGCTGTTGGCCTAGGACTCCCGCATTTCATCGAAGGGCCTACGCCGTTGACGGGGGCCTAGCCCTTAATGGGCGGGGGCCCTTGCGATTTCTACGGGGGCCCTTAACATTGGTCGTCAGCTCTGCCGATTGAGTCAGGAGGATCTTACTCAGTTACCCCAAACCCAACGCGTGGTTACGAGTGTCAGGACGTCTCGCCTGCTCATGCGTACGGGCCTGACTAAATCACTTCACAGTCAAGTCCCAGACTACAGGATGACGATTCTCTTGATGCTTCAGCCTGAGAACAGCAGTTACAGCGCCTGAGAACAGCAATTCATCAGAGCCGATGCGCCGATGAATTTTTACGCGCAGTTGTGCAACATAATGATACGCGCCGCCTCCGTCGTACATGTTATTTCGGATGGTTTTGGATTTGTGACGTTTTTTACCCTCGTACATTACGTTTTTTTAATACATTTTGAACGCTAGAATATTTTACGCTTCTCATAACAGTCAAAGCAAAGGCTCTGCCTTCGTCATCAGCCATCAGGTGATCACATTGATTAGCCGACTAGCCGTAATCAGACTAGGAGTCAAGCTCCTACTTGATTTTGATCACATTTAGCAGCCAAATTTACTTTGTTTGACATGTTTTTCCGAAACAGTTGGCCTCAAACTGACGGGACCCACAATTATTTGGCTAAATGCACAAGCCCCTTGTATGTGCATGCGCAGCACGCCTGGTTTTCTAGAACTGTGCACAGTAAGATGTGTTCCCGTATAAAATATAAAATGCGTAAGACTCTTAAAATTTAGATGCCGGGATCCGAACAGTTTTGGAGAGGGCTCCAAAGCTCTAGGGGCCCCTGATGTTGTATGCCTGCTTCCCCTTGACGATATCCTGGATCCGTCACTGATTTTGATTCCTCCTGCACGCAATTTCGAGCACATTGCTAATCTCAGAGTTGTCGACGTCCCGCCTCCGAAACATTTAGTTT